TCTTAACTTGTTTAGCAAGGTTGCTGGATGCTTTTATTTTGGAGGGAGAAGTGCTCTGAAATGCCATGCTCAGTATCACAAAAACTCATCTCCCTGCTCCACTGATTGTCTCTTTAAAGATAAAAAGTCCATGGTGTATAGTTGGGCTGATATTCAATAATATTGAATATAGGCCATGTGAAATATTTTTTTTATAATAAATTTAAATTTTGTTGGTTATGTCTAGTTTGGGAGGAAACCAACCAAAATGGCTATGTTGGTTTCATTAATTTATAGTACCAAATGCAAGTTTAAAGAAGCTCTTTGTAAGTTTTGCTATTGCTACATAGCTAACGTTAGCTATTCTGTCCTCACAGTTGTGTTTCTGAGCAAAGCCAGACAGGTAGACAACAAAGCTCCAGTAAACCCGCGTTCCGTAAAAAGGTGTGGCTTTAATGATGGTAGTTTCTGTGAAACTGAAAAATACATCACAAAACACATTTCAGTATACTGCACACAGCTCATATATGAAATAAAATTTAAAAAAGACACAGAACTACTTCTAAAATGTCCATAAACTTCAACCCTTTCTCTTCAAAGGTCGCATAGCAGGTAAATGTTTTAATCTAACACAAATATCGAACACCATCAGTAAGTCAGGTATACTAGCATATGAGTTCTTATCTTAGCACAGACTTCTTTAGCAATACCCCCCTTAAGTTAGCTAGCAAGCTGAAAAGTAAAGCAAATAACCAGCATATGTAGCTTTCATTCAGCTAACAATTAAAATATATTCCTTCCACAGAACAATCTCCACATTCAAACACTCATTCTGACAATAATTCACATCTTTACTTACAGACGCATCTAGTCCAAGACTTAACTGAGAGGTGATAACTGCTCTGCATGCACATTGCTCCACTCCACAACATTGAAGATGAAAAGTGAAACTTAAGAAAAATAAGAACTACCTAGAATGTCCACTAGGGAGTAGAAATAGAAAAACTAAACAGGGATCAGAACATGAGCATTAGCAGCTGTTAACTTAGAAGAAATGTTAAGAGTTCAGTATCAGACTTCATTCCTTTACTCAACAACAGCTGTCTCCAGAGGTGTTCCATTGTTAAATCTTTATCACATCTTTTCTTCTACTGAAGTTAGCATGGATCTTCAGATTTTTTCTTTCATCTTGAGGGGAACGCGCAAGGAGCGCTGACTTATTTACACTCAGAGGCCGGCTGACTCAGTGACCATTATCCACAGGTTAGCTAGCTGACTTGTATTAGCTAACGTTAGCGCTTGCCCCAGCAGACCTCTGCCCAAACAGCATAACGTCTGTTAAAAGTTTACTTTAACCCATGGTCCCATGTACAAAAACTGGCAGCAGTTCTGCTGGAGTTGCAGGTGAACTTGTGTAAGCCATTGCCTAGGAATGTGGTCTGGTAAGGCTTCTGAGTGTAGATAAATCAAGTGCTTCTCGCTCTCCCCCTCAAGCCCCCACTCTCTACACCAAAACAGTGACAAAAAGTTGTAACTGAAAACCAGTGACACTTAAAAAATTGTAACAGTGTAAAAAAAAAGTGTCACTGAAAAAAGACATGAAGAAAAAATCAAGAGGTTGACATTGAAAAACATCATAATCCAAAAAATATCCAAATTAAATAAAATAGATAGATTGTAGTTTTTTTTAATACCAGTGTTTTTTTAATCTTATAAATTTTTAGTAACACAGATTTTGTTCATCATTTATTTTGTGATTATGAAATGATGCATCATCAGTTAACACATGACAAAACAAACATCACTTAATTGAGTGCCCCTGTACTCTCCTCTGCAGACTAGATTTATTAGATGAAACAAACAAAGGAAACCTCAGAACAGTAGACCAAGCAAAACCACAGCATCCTCATGGGTGGGGGAGGTGTCATGCTTTCATTATAATCTCATAGAAATACAGGGGACAAAATGAGTTAAGCAGTTACTGTTAATGGATTTTACAAGTGCATGTAGTGAAAGTTAACCCCCACACAACCAACAACCACTCTAGCTGTGGTCGCAGCTGGGCGACTAGTCAGACAAGACTTTGACAGATGGTCCAATGGGACGCTGGAGAGGGAAGGAGGGAGGAGAAAGGGGCTAAAGAGAAGGATGGATGGAGGATGGAGAGGAGGAGACAATGCTAATGGATGCAGAAATGTGTGCATGTGTGTGTGCATGTGTGCGTGTGTGTGTGTGTGTGTGTGTGTGTGTGTGTGAGTGTGTGCGTGTGTAGGAGGAGAGTCATCTGTTCCTGAAAGAATGAAAGAAAAAGAATCAGGGTTATAAACCTCACGGGAGGCGAGAGGGACAATGTCGCCCTGCTGATGCTGCATTTGCACACACACTCGCACACACACTCACACACACACACACACACACACACTAGACACACACACACACACACTGGAGTTTTATCCCCCTCTCTTTATTTAGGTTCATCAACTGATAGTTTTTATCATTGTAATGAAGAATAAAGATGAACAATGGAATGAACAACAGCTTTCATTCATGATAAACTGGACATTCATTTAATCACGTGGCTGCTCCTTCATTAAGCTCACAGCTTTATAATTAATTAATATTTTGATTATGTCACAAACATAGTTAACTATTCTTATTGTCATTGGTGCGTATTAGCATCAATATAACTTTGAATCTCCTGTCATACAAGCTACATTCCATATACAGGCCAAGGCCACGCCCCCTTGGGTGCCAGTCAAAAATACTCGCATTGTGGCCACACCCACCCCCTCATTGCTCCCTCGAGCTGGCTGCACCCAGAAGACCCAGCTAGAAAAAAACCACTGCTTTCTTTTTTTCCGGTTGTGACTATCAAAATAAAATTCACATTAAGGGTGGTGTATATATTCTGTAAATAAATTCAAGCATGATTAAGCATTTAGTGAACATATACTTCACATTTCTTCACACCAAATTGCAGCTGCTTCCAGCAAACATGTCGGTCTAAAATATCAAATTATCATCTGCACGATTGTAACTATAACAACCCCTCCCTACTGATATTTTTCTACTATAAAAACACAGCCACAGATACATTGATCACATTGTTACTTTTCTCTTTTTTCATCATTGTTGTTACTATTTAAAGACAGAGATGTGGTTTGTTCATTAAGTCATAAGTTCACATTTTAATGGTCTGTCCTAAAACAACACTCACCTGCTCATATGTCTGTTTAAGGAGTAACTGGTCACTGTGGTCGGCTGTCTGAAGAAATTCCCCCTTCAGCTTTGAGAAAAAATGCGTTCATGGAGTTCAGCTGAGGATACATGAGGCTTCAATCAGTGTGGGGATCTTACAAAGTTTCAATCTTATTAGTACCAAATTCTCTCTTTTTGTTACTGCACCCCCACTGCATCACTGTCTGTGAAAACAAATCCAATATGCAGCAAACCAATAAAAGAAAACAAACATCAGGTTGCCACTAGTTTCAGTTCATGTCAAGGTCACAGCCAGGACTTAGAAATACTGATATCATGAGTTAAAGTCCCACACTAATCCCCTAAAAATTGGATATTCATAGTTTATTTATTGTGTTTGGTGCTGAAATATGAAATATTGTCTTCAAGAGGAGTTATCCAAATTTACTATCATAAGACTTTGTCACTATAATTACAACCAGATTACATAGTGATTTCAAAGAAACTTTCTAGGATACAAGTGAGAAAACTGCACCTGTAAAATAAAGTGTTACTATTTAATTTGCACACCTGGTAGAGTGTGTGCCATGAAGGCGTAGTCCTAACCACAGTGGCCTGGGTTCGAGTCCAACCCATGGCCTTTTACTGAGTCTCTCTCTTGCTCTCTCTCTCTCACACACACACACACACACACACACACACACGGTTGCTATAGGAATTAAAGCAAAAAATAACTTTAAAATGAAAAATTGATTAACCTGGCTGGGACACACTCTTTATTCAATGATTTTAACTTCAAAAGTCACAAAACATTGAACAAGTGCATCCCAGCAGGTTCATCACTTTTTAGTGTCCCATGGAAACAATTCTGTTGTGTTGTGAGTATTTGCACCTTTGCACCATGTGTTGTCAATTTGATGAAGATGTTTTCTGAAGTTGCCTGTGCTTTGTCTATTTGCATGTGTTTTCTTAAGTTGCAGTACATTGAGCTCTCAGGGCCACCGTACATAACAATCTGATTGAGAAAGTCGTATGTCAACTGACAAACTGTAGGCTACTGATTTCAAGAGATTCTGTATGTTGCTGAAAAGTCACATAAAAAAGGCAACAACTACAAAACAAAAGGCAAACACTGACCCAACAAAAAGGCTAAGAATTTCATCATTTTTATCACATCAGATTAGATCAGGAGTTTTCATAGCCTGAAACTGTGAGCCTCCCCTCAGACAAACTTTGGAAAAAGGTGCCCCCCCAACCCCACCTTAGTTTACTTGCTTTGTTTTGCTCAATTCCTGGATGCCTATGGGATCATGATAACGTTATTTGATCCCTTAGATACTCAACAACTGAGCCAAGACAGTGCTGTGCTAAAGCTTTTCTGACTCCATGGGGAAAACAGTAAAATTCACCAAAACTACTACTACTCTGAACTATCTCTTTAACCAAATCACATACATTTAGGCCAATATACCTGATCTCCCTTTGATAACTAATGTAATAACTTACAATATTTTTTTCCCTTCCATTCACTGAGCATCCCCTGAAACTGTTTGGAGCCCCCCTGGTGAGGCCCACCTCTCACCTTGAAAACCTCTGGATTAGATCATTAAGAAAGAGTCATTACATCCTAACAAGCCTTAAATCTGCTCTATGCAGCGTTGTTATGAAACATATGACATTAATGCTTTAAACCAAACTGGGATTTTGTTCTTTAGAGGTGGCAAGTTTTGCGCTTTTATTTTGAAGGAAACACACAGTCTTCCCGTAATACTGTTGCGAAATGTTGGCACTTGACGCAACTTCCTGAAAGATTGACAGCTTGAACCGCTCTCTATCTTTCATGAGTGCAACCTACAGCTCCCGTTTTGTGAGAGGAGCAATCACAACTCACGTTGTTTGCAGATTTTGGATTTAATCGTGTACTTTTAACAGAAGTTTAGAAGGAGAGCGCTCTGTGTGGAGTTTATAAGGATCTACGGGGCATGAAAGTGGAGCGGACGCTTCAAACAAAGTAAAAAAGGGGGTAGACCTGTCCGTTTGATGGCTGCTGGGGATGGAGCCCAGCTGCCGGCCACAGTAGCGGCCAGCCGGAGCGTGGAGAAGGCGCTGGAGGAGGCTGCCGCCAGCGGGGCTCTCAACTTGTCTAACCGAAAACTGAAGGAGTTTCCCCGAAGCGCCAGGAACTACGACCTGTCCGACATTACACATGCAGGTCGGTTTGCTTTTCACGGTTTTCCTCTAATTTCCAAAGCAGCAGCAGCAGCAGCAGCGAGCTAGCTGTTATTACAAGAACCGTCTTTTGTTTTATCGCCACCTGCCTCTTTTCTTCGAGCGGGGAAGGCGCATCCTTCCTGAACCCGACACATTTAACCAGACTCCCTCAGAAACTCAGCACTTAATTACTTAATTCTGATGGCTGTCATAACTGGGCATCTTTTAAAATATACTGTTAGACTTCTTTCAAATCACCAGGGTCTGTATCCTTCTTCGGCACATGTACACTCCACCAAACGGCAGTTGTATCAATAATAACACGTTTAAACTGGCCCAGCAAACTGCCGTGTGAACTCAGTGTTGCCGTTAGCAGGCAGTGTGCACCAGTTTAAACGCGTTATATTTAAAAAAAATAAAAAAAAAAATAAAAAAATAAAGTCCCTGCCTGGTGGGCTAATCAAAGTAGAGGTGTATTTTATGGGGTATTTACTTTTCTCTTTAAGCAGAGCCACATGAGTTCCAGCTTTTTAAAAATAAGACTTGCGTGTTGTTCATTTAAACTTCAAAGAAGAAAAGGAAAGAAACGTCAGACATGCCAGTTCCTCTTCCTCAACATGAAGTCTTATGAGGGAGGGAAACTTCTCCACTGCCATGTAACATTAGGGCTTCTCTCTCTAGGTTTGTGTTGTTCATAGCTTAACGTATTTCGGTGTTTTCTGTATTGAGTGATGAGCTGATAATGTAACATCATGGCAACCATTTACTACCCAGCCTGAATGTGTCACCTCATCTCTCTGAGCTAAGTTGTACAACAACAACAGAGAGTAAAACTTAATAGTGAAGTAGGTGCGGATTAAAGGGAACTACCTTGGCCTGGCCTGGGTGAAAAGAGGATTACCCAATCCAGGTTGCTGAAATCAATCTGGCTACGCAGCGACCAACACCCCCTCTGCTCTGCTGATGCTTTCTGTGCTCCGGTAATTATGACCATCTGCTCATAACAACCTAGGTCTAGGCCCTGTGGGATGAGGAGGCCTTGAACACATGTAAACACACACACAGACACCTGCCACTAGAGCAACCCAACCCTTGACTCTGGAGGTGATGAGTATATCCCATACCTACGGCAATGCCACTTGATCAAGATGTGTTTATCCAAGTGCAGGTCCTTGGATAAATGAGTAATCCAGCTATAGGTAATTCAATAATACATCCAGCTGTGGCTTTGAAGGAGCACTTCACTAATTATACAAAGCCATGTACAGTGTACTCATCACAAGGAGAATTACTCAGCCTGTGAAAATAGCTGGACAGGGTCCTCTGTGGTTCAAGGGGAGCTCTGTCAAGTCTGACAAAATGTCCTCCAATTATGTCATAGTGATGTCATCAGAGTTTTCAGCTCAGGCTTGGCATGGTTTTGGCATGGAGCTTCAACACTTGGACATTTACCAGGTGGGGAAGGATCAATGAAAGATGCCACAGACTTGAATTATGGGAAGTACAGGATCCAGTACTAGGGAATGAAAGTCAGTATCTCCCAGACTTAGCTTTGCCATTAATCATTATTCTTTAACACATCTTGTGCAAGTTTAACCCATGAAGTCTTAATTGGTTTACATGAGTTTTTGAGGTGGACTTGTTAGCTGAATTCCAGAGGTCAAGTAGGGGTGTTGCAAATGATCCTATGCTGAAGTCCTGGGGAGTCCCTAGAAAAATAAGGAACAAGTACATTTCAAGGACTTTCCTGGATACCATTTTTGGGGCTTTTAAGCATCAGTGACAGTTAACCATGAAATTCTGGCTGACAGAGACGAGGACAAAAATCAGACTTGGTTATACTTTGTTGCTGTGCTTGTAAAGTTACATGAGAGCTGTGGCACACAGCTATAGGATTGATTGTATTTGTCTGAGAATGACTAATAATAATTAATGTTGATGCCACATAATTAATGTTGGATGTTTATTTCTTACTTCATGGGCTTACTTTGGGGATTTTTGTGGTAATGCATATAGAATAATAATTAAAATTTAAAAAAATGAAGCATTTGAATACTGATTTGGATGTCAGTTACCATGGAAAAGATCAAATCTGCTTCCCATGGTCTTCTTCAGAGAATGGTGCTGCAGGATGTATTATGTTTATCATCATATGACTATGAAAACCAGCAAATACTCAGCTTTGAGAATCAGGAAGCAGTGAATTTGTGAATTTTTTTGTTGAAGGTGTACCTCAGCAATTTAATGATACACTTCCAAGAAGAAGAAGTAGAAACTGAGATAAGAAAAACAAGAGAATCAGTGGAGGACTGGAATTCGGCTAACAAGTCCACCTCAAAAAACCCATGTAATCCAATAAGGAGCTCATGGGTTCAACTTGCACAAGAATAGTGATACCTCCACCTCTCCTTCACTGAGGTAGCCTGACTAATATCTCCAGTCAGGATCGAGTGCCATAAACAATGGATCCTGTATTTGCCAATATTCAAGTCTTTTTTGTTTTGTTTGTCAAACTTCACACCTGTAGTTTGTAATGCAGTGTTTCTGTTGGTCTCCAAGCCCAAGGTCTTTCAGACAACATTGGCACAGACAACATTACACACACTCTGTGTGCCTGTCATTGGGGGTGTGCATGAGTGTGCTGGGACTGGCCAATCATAGAATGTAATTCTGTGCGAAACATTGCATTTGCTCTTCTATGGGCCCAGTTGTGGACATTTAGTCTTGAGTACATGTTTTTGCAACAGCTTGTCTGTACGGTCATGTATAGTGTAAAGTATGTGTGTATGGTAATGTCTAGTAACTGTAACTAAGTCAACTCACTTGTCTGAGAGTTCTGCTCCCTCTGTTTCTGTGTGTGTGTGTGTGTGTGTGTGTGTGTGTGTGTGTGTGTGTCATGGTGGATGGTGACAGTCCAGACTGATTCACTAGACTGTCATGATGCTTTTCAGGTAGCCTGCGGTCTTGCTAGAACAGGATCTTGCTAGGTCAAATGTCGTCCCGCCTCCTGACAAAATTCTAGTACTCGTTTCTTGGTACTCGGTGGATTTGACATTTGTAAATGTAATCTGTGCATCAGGCAGAGCCATCCAAAATTGCCAAAGATGAAGAATACTAACGCACTGGACTTTCTGCCTGCGGAAGGAGGTGGCAACCTGATTTTGTGGCCCTTCAAACAGGTGAATAGGGTTGCCACATGTCCCGTATAATACGAGATCGTCCCGAAATTGAAAATTAAATGATTCTAGTACTTGTTTTCTCAGTAGTCAGTGGATTTGAATCAATATGGGACGCAATTTGTCCCTTATTTTTGTTCATGTTATGTCCTCAAAGTGCTGTGAATAATGTAATGTCAAGTAAAACCAAACCCGTTACCACCTTTTTTCACATAAAAAGCCACATAATAGGTGTCACCCCTACAGATGAATATTATCTCTTTTACATCCAAGCACACCCAGCTTCTTGAAAAGTTTCCCTAAATTAACATTACATTCCATCTTGTATGCTTTTTTTTTTTTTTTTTGCAAAAATGTCTCAAATCACAGATTATATTAAAAAAGACAGTTCGTGAGGCGGAGAATTGTGAGGACAGTTGAAACAGTGCAGAGTGCAGACATCATTAGTGCTTCTGATATGGGAGAAAAAGTTAATTCATGTTACTGACGAGATACGGTTAATGTGTTAGAACTTAGAGTAGGCCTAATTCTCAGCCACAAGTGGAAGGTGCCGGTGGAGGAGAGGATCAGAGCACGAGAGAGGAGTCAAGGCGAGAAGTCTTTAGGAGTGTATCAATGAGTGTATTAAAGCTGACATTTATTTATTTTTTTTACTTATTGACCCCCCACTCCCCCACTCCTGGTTGTACGGCTTAGTACCACCCTTAGTACCACCCCAGGAAAAACCTTGAATATGACAATATACACTATTAGTCCAAGGCTGCATTTACCCATTATTTTCATTACTGATTCATCTTCTCATCATAACTTCATTAATTTATTAATCATTTGGTTAAAAGATATCAGTGGGTGAAACATGGTTGTTACAGATCTCTGAAGCCTAAAGGGCCATTTTCAGATTTCCTGTATTGTCCAACCCACAGATTCAGTTTACTATTTTCACATAAGATAGATAGATAGATAGATAGATACATAGATATGGATTGCTTTATGATTTCTGCACCAAGACAAAAAAGTATCTTGATTTATCTATATTTGCCAAAAACTTATGGAGCTGTGAGTTTCCTGAAAATGACCTAAACCTCAATCTTATCTATACAGCCAACTCTTGATGCCTTTCGTTCTCATACCATTGTTATTTACCTTTAGCAAGCTCACAAATCCAGTAGACAAAGAGCAACATGAGCTTCCCATTCAAGTCATTTTTCTGGCCAGCTTATGTTTCAGTCCTACGATAGATTTCTTTTTTTCCTCAATGTGGCCTTAATACTCCAAAATTTCAAGTCATAATATTATGAGAATAAAGTAATAATTTTAAGAATTAAATCATAATGTTTCAAGAATAAAGTAAAAAAAAAAAAGTATTTTCCTCAATGTGGCTCTAATACTCCGTTGTACAGTCCTTCTTCTTTCAGTGTAGCTCTGTTCTGGTCTCCACCAACTCCTCATCTGGCCCTGTAGCTGCTAAACCTGCCACTTCCATCAGACACTTGCTCATTACCAGTTGGGCTGGTATTGTTTCCACCTTGAGTCTGTTTGCATGTGTTCATGGTGCAATTGTGGTCCTGGATACACCTACTGTTGCAGGCACTTACTTCAGCAGGTGTTTATATGTCTGACTGTCTGGACAGTGTGTAACTTTGTCAGCATCACAACCTGCAAGATACAGTCACAAAACTTGACAGGTGCGTAGTTGAGATCAAAATGAAGGCTGAGTTCAAGGATGGGTGTGGTCTGATAAATAGAGACCATATTGTGATGGGATCACATCAGCTGTGACGTCAACATGTTGATGTTCTGACCCATGAGTACTGAGTAGACAAGT